ACTACCGACTGAGGCAAAATCCGTAGACAATTCAGTAAAAATAATGACCTTACAATTTGTATGAAAAACGTCAGTCAACATTCGCCTTAATGATAGATTATAATTCCTGACAAGGTCATTGTATCGACCATAAAATTTGCAAATTGTTGACTTTAAACGATATTTAACGACTTTTAACTGTTGATATTTATTGTTTCATCAACTTAATTGTCAATAGCTGACCTCGTTTTAGAAATTATTCATGAACATGCTATTGCGTATCGAATCAACTATGAGACATAAACTCCATATGCATGTGATAATGGTACATGTATATTGCTACAAACACAAGGGGAGCTGTCGATAGAAAAGTTGAAGTCATTACGTTTATCATAAAATTTTGTTATTAGGTTACCTTTTTCTAGTAAAATATCCAAATATGGAACCATTGTATTAGACTCTGTGGTATCTATTATTTCGAGTTCAAAGGGATATATCAAATCATGATCTGATTTTCATTTATTCTCTCATGAGGATATATGTAGTTTCATGTTCTTTTTTGTGTTTTGTTTTTAGTTTACTTTCTTCATTAATATTGTGTTTTTCTTTTGTTTCGGCTTTCTTAAAAATATTAATTGTTTAAGGTAGTACAAAAACACCCGTGAAATCTATTTTAACTCATTTCTTAAAAAGTAAATGAGAAAAAAGAATAATATCACTAATCAATAGTCAATGATCTTTGTAAGAAAATTAATAAGCTGTGACATGTTTTCGCCGTATTTTGTTAAAAAAAATTAGACATCCTATACTAGTATATTGGACACTTGGGAGCCTACGTTTTAGAATATGTTTATGCTGCCTAAATGTGATACAACAGTCTGTTGTTAAATGCAAAGTTATTTTTGATCCATAAATAGTAGAGGGATGATAATTGGAAATGTATGAATGAAGTCTCCATTCTCTATGTAAAATAAAGGTCGAGGTCATATTAAGAGGTCAAATATTGTGACGTCATATACTGAATTTTAAGTATGGCTCCGTGTAAAAATCATGCAGGGGGTGATACATGGGGGGTTTCAGAATTTTTTCAAACTTTGCATGTTGGTTGAGTATGCTAAGATACTACGAAAAATAAAATGATTTTTTATCAATTCTGTGTCTGGTTGCCATGGCAACAGTTAAACTGTTTTCGGTAAAATATTGCTGAAATTTCCTCTAAAAATACGCAAAAATATCAATATTTCATATGAAATTTAAAAAAAAAATCGGACAATAAATCACATTTCTGTTTATTTCTCATTCAAATACTTTAACAGCTCAAATAGTAACTTTTCATAATTAATCAAAATATTTCCATGTCCAGTAAAATTTTAAGTTGAAAAGGGGAGATAATCCATATTGACAAAAACAGCAAAATATCAATTTTTTGAGGATTTTCAGCTATCAAAAAATTAAAAAACCCTACAGCCAAACCAAAAGGCAATGCTAGTTTCGAATTCATAGACACCATACCCTATAGAAAATAAAATAATTAAAACATTTTTGTGCAAATGATTATTATTTTTCCCAAAATGATTGACGAGTTTCATACAAAAAATGGCAATTTCCCTTTTTTTGTCACAGTCCAATATATGCCATATATGTATGCATGTAAAAGGAAATTGACATTTCAACACAATTTCTTTACATTTCCAAACTCAAATACAACACAATTATTTACTTATCTTAATTAATCTAAATATGTTCATGACCTGTAAGATGTTCCAATTTTAAGCTGAAAAGGCAGATAATCAATACTGATAAAAACAAAACGATTGATGAGTTTCATATAAAAAATGGCAATTTCCTTTTTTTTTTTGGTCACAGTACAATAAATATGCCCTATACACATATAATGAATACATACCGGGTATGCATGTAAAAATAAATTGACATTTCAAAAAAATTTCTCAATTTTCCAATTTGAAATACAACACAATTTTACTTTTCATTTAATCAAAATATTTTCATGACCAGTAAAATGTTCTAATTTTAAGCTGAAAAGGGAGATAATCCATATTTACAAAAACAGTATCATATCCCATTTTTGAGGGTTTTTTTCAGCCTACAATTTTTTTTTAAAGTCCAACAGCCAAATCAAAATGTCACGCTTGTTTCGTACACACCATACCCTATGGGTATGATACATAGGGTATTATACCAAAATTGAAATTGCATTTATTTATTTTTTGGGGGGTGGGGGGTGGGGTGTTAATATATTGATCCAACAACCATCGAGGGACAATATTTACTTCCTTCTTTAGGATCGGTGAATGCACACATCTAGGCAAGCCAAACCATTGTAATGACCTCATAAACAGAAATAATTGTATAATATACAACTTGACTTTTATTTTAATGATAATATGAAAATCATTTTATGTTTCCCTCTTGGTTACACCTCTCAATATACACCACAAGAATTTTGACCGAATTTTAACTGCATGCAATTACATGTATTAATTAAATGAATGATGTTTTTTACACATCATTACCAAGTCATCTGCTTGTTTTTCATTCAATTTTACCAGTTTACCCCACATCAAAATTATTAATTACTGGAACATGTATCAAAATCATTAATTGATAAATGTAAACAACATTTTATAGTTTACATCTTTGTAAGATGCAATAATGCTGAACAAAATATCACTAATCTCCGATGCTTCTCTTTTGTAGTAACTGACTGTATTTATGAGTCTCTTCTAGTGAAATATAAAACTGTAACCTTAAGGTGCTGAAGATCCATGGCAGATGAGAGTCCATGCCTGATTATCTTTATCCAAGTACCAGCATTGAATCCATTCTTTGAACTCTAATCTTTGTTATTCCTAAAATAATAGTTACATATAATTATCATTTACCACATTAAAACTCATTGTTCTACATTGATTTAAAGGTATTAAAGGGTTTTTTTAATTTATAAATTACTTTACATGGAATCTCAAGTTTATGTAATGCAGTAATTTCATGTAAAATCTCAAATGGTTGCATGTGCATGGCATGTGGTCCCCCACCTTTGGAGTCTTATTAGTTGGTGGTGTGCAATGTTGTTTTTCTTGCTGTCTCAAAAATACTGTCAGCTTTTCCTTCATAACCATGATGCAAACCATCTTGTGCATTCTGTGAAAATGATATAGGGTTTCATTTCAAAAGTATATAATTCAAATTACTAACTTATGAAATATGTAAAATATCTTTACCATATTTTCTATCATTTATGTCTCAGGTTTTAACCATATTACAATTTAAACCAGTTATGAATTCTGTAATCTTGCTACTGATTAAATTAAAGCTACAAAATCAAATACCCGGTACTCTCACAGTACCTGTTATAAAACACCTTTGGGTCTTCCCTTTTCATTTTATCTCTTTAGTCAAACAAGTTCTTGATCATTCTGAAAAACAACAAGGAATATTTTTCATCTAGATTTATATGCAATATGACATACAGAGAGCGAGAGAGAGAGAGAGAGAGTAGGTATAAAGACAACTAAATATACCTATTTAACAACCCTAAATTAAATTTACCTGGTGATTCCAAAGCACAGTACACTGTTTTCCAAATACACTACTACACTAGCCTGATTAAAAATGTTGTTGGGCCAGTAAAATGCAAGTCAGCAATAGCTTGACAAGACTCATAGAATTTTCAGTGATATATCTTTTACAAATTATACCATCAGTAATGTTAAAAAATGTGCATAAACAGCCTTGTCTGAAAAATTATATATTTATTAAATAAATCAAGCTTTTTGGTGGTTTTTATATCTTGGTTGCAAACAAGAGGCCCATTGGCCACAATGCTCACCTGAGTCAATATCTTCATCAGCAGATTTTTCTAATATATATTCGTATGTAAAACTTTGACCCCCATTGTGTTCCTACCCTATCCCAGGGGTTCATGATTTCAACAGATTTGAATCTACACTACTTGAGGATTCTTCAATATATACATGTATCTGTATGACTAATCATGGCTTTGCTGTTCTTAAAAAGAAGAATTATCACTGTCTAGTGTGAAACTTTGATCCCCCATTGTGGCCCTATACTACCAGTATGTCTAGTTCTTGAGAAGAAGATTTCTAAAGATTGTTACCTAGTATCTACATTTTTTTAAAGTAAAATTTGACCACCCATTAGAGCCCCATGCTTCCGCCACTTTTCACAAAAGTTTCAACCCTTTTGGCCCAGTTTTTCATGAGAAAAAGATTGATAAAGTTTTTTACATATATATTTCTATATGTAAAACTTTGATTGCTTATTGCTGCCAATCCATATCCCTTGGGGTCATGATCCGAACAAACTTCCCACTACATTATGTAATAAAGCTTTCACATAAGTTTCATCTTTTCTGTTCCAGTGGTTCTTGAGAGGAAGATTTTTGAAAGATTCATTAAATTTTAACTAATTTTTAATTATCTTCCCTTGAAAGAGGGCAAAGCTCTTCATTTGAACAACAATGAATCTCCTTCATCCAAGGATGCTTTGTGGCAAATATGGTTGAAATTTGCCATGAAGTTCTGGAAGAAGATGAAAATGTGAAAAGTTTTAAATAAAGATGACAATGACACCTGGAACAACAACAGACAATTGACAAAGTGTGATCAGAATAGGTTACTGGAGCCTTTGGCTCGGGTGAGCTAAAATATTAAACACTTATCCACTGGCTGTGGGTGGGATAGCTCTTTTATCAAACCCGCGACAGGAACTATTCCCCGAGGGCTTGCCCGAGGGGAATAGTTCCTGTCAAGGGTTTGATGAAAGAGCTATCCCACTCACAGCCAGTGGATAAGCGTTTTATTATACTGATGTATTTAGATTTGTAGTCTAATATCTTAATGGAAAAGAAAGACCAAAATATCAATTTCAAGTAACATTTAATTAACATAAAAACATAACAATTTATAAACATTTAAATCAAATGACATTAAACATCATAAGATTTACTACATGTAATAAACTCAACATTATTCATTACATCAAGGACAGTTACATCAACACCATTTTTTCTTCTAATTTTAGAGTTTACTGTTTATTTGTGTAAATGTTAATATTTACAGTAGAATTATGAATGCTGACCCCACATTCTGAAGCTGGCAGAGTGTTTTGTGCATTTTTAACATTGTGAAGTTCAAAGTTTTCTAAACCTGCGAAAAATGTGTCAACATCAAAATCATTTAAGAAATCAATCTGACCAAGTCCAGTCTCTTGTACACTGGATTCACTGCAAGCTGCTGCATTAGAATTTTTAGAACTATCACAAAGTATTTTTGAAATTTCAAATTGTTTCTGGTCACTCAACCTCGTGGAGTAAGACATAATACTAGATATGTTTTTGTGACCAGATATTCCAACTATATGTCTAGCATCAATTCCCTGCCTGTCAAGATTTGTTATACATGTCGCACGAATTCAGTGATTGGTATATACTGTAGACAGTTCAGCACTCTTACTGATAGTAGACATCATCGCTGCAAGTGTATTTTTCCCCAGAGGAACATTGTCAAACCAAACTGACTGTGTTTCTGATACCGATGGTTTAGGGCGCTGCCATAGATTTGGGTTATCAGGATTCAACTTCACAATATACTTCATGAAACTATTCACAGGGCAACGAGGATTTCCTGTTTTTGAAAAAAAAAACAATATTTAGACATATTTACAGTTACATGTATAAATTTATTGATAAATTCTTTTTTTCTGTAATTATTAAAGATAAATAATTTGATAAGAGTACAAACCTGGCATTTCATACATCCGGGCCTGATTTGTCTGGTCATCAGTAAGATCGTCCCCTCTATGATTCTTCTCCTCCCTATGCTTCACCTTACACACATGTCTTTTTCCCTCAGGATCTGTTCTCACTGAAAAATCCCCCTTCTGAAAGCTTCGCAAGTTCTCCTGTCCACGGTTGCAAAAATAGTATACAATCTCAAAGAATGTTCTATTTAACAGCCCCATAGCTGTATTCAGAGAAAACGTTTCGCTTTCATAAAGTTTGTTCAGATCTTCCGTGGAAATTGTTTGTTTATGTTTTACCTCGGATGCTCCCTCTCGCTTTATCTTTACCAACATGGCCCTAAAAACTTCGTTACATGTCTTGAATTCATCGGAATTAATGATATCCACTGAAGTCTTCTTTAGGAAGTGTTTCTGAAGTCCAAATCTCATGGTTATTAAAGTTTTCTTTGCATAGTAACTTCCGTCGGGTTTTCTCAGTTCGGCATAAAATTTCCTCAGTTTTTCGGACATCTCCACACTTGATAATTTTTCCATATCCTCGACGCTAATTCCATGGCGTTCTAAAAGGTAGTCCCGTAAAAGCTTCAGGGCGGTTTTAACAACCCTTTGAGTATTTTTACTGTCTCTAGATTCTAGAAGTTCTTCAATATCTTCATCACCAAAACATTCGTACCTGCTTACAGACGACATTTTTGGAACTCTCTACGGTTGGAACTCTTCAATGTTGGAGGAATCACCAACCAATCAAATTACAGGGAATGAAAGTTGGCGCTAAAATTTGAATGAAAATTTTCCGAGGGGTGGATAGCAAAAACTATACCCCGGGGTATAGCTTTGCTATGCGTGGAAATTTTAGACTATAAAAAATAGCTATTTTATCTTCTTAACTTTATATAGGAAACATTTTAACAGAAGTATAATAACAAAACCTATCACATAAAGCATTTACTTCTCTTAATTAGTAAAATTTATATGTTCATTTTCAATTTGAATTACCATAAACCTGGGACCTAAAATAAAAATTAATTTGTTTGCAGTTGCCTACCCACGCACTGAAAATGCACCCTACCCAAACATTCTTTTTTCAGCCATTTTGTATTATTATTTTTTTAAGTTTCAGTTTTTCAGGATATTGAAAATGTTCTTTTTTTTTTTTTTTTTTTTTTACCAAGTGAAGCTTATTTATGTTAAGTAAGCCTTGAAGTATGAATATCTCTATAATTTTTATCTAATAAAAGTCTGAAAAATAACTTATTTAAAAAAAAAAAAATTAAAAAAAAACCCTACCTATCCACTCTAAAAATTATGTCGGCAACTGCAAACAAAGAATTTTTTAAGCTAATGGCCCGGGCCTTCCCACTGAATCCCTTAAATTTGGCCATGTTAAATAATGGTTGTTGTATGGGACATGTATTGATTCATGATGAGAGCACAGAGAGTTTCATATTTATATGATGATAAAACGTTCTATTGTTAAGATGAGATTCTCCTACAGACCTGGTTTAATGAAAGAATGTGTATTAGCAATGTTATGTAGCAAAACAAACTGGGCAATAAGTATTATCTAGAGAATGAGACGGGTTCTGTATCGTAGATACAAATTTGGGGGTGGACGAGTGCATAACACTAGTCTCCGCCCCCAGATTTGTATCTACGATACAGAACCTGTCGAGTTCTCTAAATGATTTGTGACATGATCAATCAAGAAAAAGCACCGCCCACTTTATAGCTGTGCAGCATTCAAACTTCTGCCAGTGTTTGTTTGTTCTCTCTGTAGATGAGGCCTTGATGGGGAGTATGCCTCCGCAGTAGATATATATTTCCACGGACAACGTAAGATTTAGTCAGATTAGTTTTGACAATGGGAGAGACGTTGTCTTAATTGATAAGGTGGACAATTTAACCTTGCTGTAGATGGAGACTGATCCTAATTTATTTCAGGGGTCTTAAAATCTCAGTTTAACTAGATACACATGCAGGCGATACAGACAGTTCTTCAATGAACTTTGATGTCACGAATTTTTATTTTCTTATTGAAATGCGACATTAAATTTAAAAACAAAGAGAAAGGGATGTGCGGCAGTCATCAGCGATAAGAATTTAAGATGGAATGTTAAAAAAAATGCTCAAAATGGACTTGAATGAGTTTGCACGAGAAGAGTGGAAAATGGGGGGTGGGGGGGGGGGTGACTGTACGAAGTTCACATAATGTATGCTGCACCCGTGAACCCATTGGCTTAACTATTTTGAAGGGGAACCCAAAAAAGCAGGGAAAGCAAACAGGTTTTCAGAAATTTATTAAACATAGGATGCTTTCCATAACTGCGAATTTTCCTTTTTTGTTTGGATCGAAATAACATGTAGATTCTGTGTGGAATAATTTTTTAAAAATTGAGAAATTTTGATATTTTACATTGCTAGGGATATATTTCTCCAAATTTTATAATAAGAAAAAACTCAGCATTTACTATTTGTACTTGCTTTTGATAAATTGAATCAGATTTATTTTTAGACTGTGCTGTATTTTAGATACAGAATAGTTGGCTAATACAAGACGGTATATAGGGTTAATACAGAAAGGAAATCAGCTCTGCCCACTATAGTCCTGTTCTGTATTGCTAATTAATACAGAACGGCAAACTTCAAAGAAAAATACTGAGCTATCGTGTCATAACTAACTCTGGTCAATGCATTTACTCTGAACAATTCGGAGATTTCTGTCAACATGGCATGTAAATTTGAATCGTGTAAAAAAAACGTTGACAAAAAGTGCCAAACTCTTACATTATATGGATTAATTTTTGGGGGTGAAAGGTATCCCTGTGACAAAAAAGGTTAACTTTGTTATTATTAACTTGATGGTTATTTTTCAATGCAATTTCATTTATTTTCTCCAAAATAATTTCAGAGTGTTTCCACCATTTTCTGCTACATTGCGGGAATATGGAAGGCATTCTAACTGTGGTCAGGGCCTGTCCCAAGACACAGTAACATTATTCTAACATATAAATGACCAAACATTAATTCAAAAAATAATTTTATTTATATTTGATTCAATAAGCGTTTGATACGAAAGTTTGCAATATATAAAATATCAATAACCATATATAAGAAGTGAATTTAAATTAAATCCTACCTATCAAGCTGTTCAAACAGCTGTCCAAATGTACCGGTGGCGCCGGTACATTATCTTCCCTCTCCAAGTTGAGTAAGCTGACACAATCGGACTGCAACTCCTCTCTGAGGGCTTACTCTTGGATTATGGTGGATTAACTTGGAAGCTAAACTTCCGACATAGACCATACTGATGTCAGTAATAAGGAAAATTGCTGATACCCTTATCAACACAATGACAGTAATATTCCCAAGCTACACTTTCTCGTTTCACGGATTTTTTTCCTCTTAATTTACACGAGCTCTTGTAAATTCCTTTCAATCATTTTTTTTTTCAATTCACACGGATATTTGCAATGAACACCACATGATGCATTAAAATAACTTTGCAGAGTACAGCTTTTCATGGAGGCCGCCATTTTTTTTACCACCGCCACCTACATAAATTTCCTAAGGGAGATAACTCATACGAAGCATCTTCACAAATTCCAGATTTTTAACACCCTGTATCTTTTCAATCCTTCGTTTGCACAAAAATATTAGAGTAAATTTAATTTACACTTTCCATTTTCACTGTAATTATGTGTTTAGATTTTATACATCTTCTTGGGTTTAGAAGAAATTATTTTCTGAAATATGCACTTTTACACACTATCCATACAAAATTACCCCTGGAGTACCCTATCCCTAGCTATATGAAAAAAGAAGAATTATAACAAATCCATTCGTTATCATTCATTTTAGACCCAAATGAATATATTAAACTCAGTTTTAATGAATTTTCAGATTATCGATGTAGCGCCTTTTCTGTGCTACCTGCATGATTTTTACGCGGAGCCGTGCTTAATTTTTTTGCCATTGCAAAAAATCTGAAACCACAGTCTCGATTTTCCATATTTTGACACATTTTATTTTGGGATCCATTTCAATCATTTTCTCTTAAGAGGACTTAAGTGTAGCATATTAACATTTTGATTTTCAATGCCAGGGTTATGTATGTTCTATTTTTACTTAAATTTACCGGTATCAACGTATTTTAACTTAATTTCAGTAACAAAAAGGCTGCCTTTATAAACAGCATCACGCAAGTTTGTATTTGATAGACCATATTTCACACAATGTGGGCCAAAATTGTGCGTTAAATTTCTTTCATATTACAAACAAGAGGCCCAAGGGCCTTAACGGTCACCTGAGTATGATACAACAATTTAAAGGATGCATAGAGTATAAAATGAACTGAAAGGTGAAACTTTGTTGCCAAAAAGCAAGAAAAATAGAGTGATCATGATCAACAAAATAATTAGTCTTAATATTCATTAACAGTTTATAAATTATGTTCTATAAATCTGATCCCCATTTACATGTATCACTATCACCATACAGTATATTAACAAATTATCAATGCTTCTGTACTATTTTAATCCTTTGTTGAAATTTCTTACATTGGCCTCTCTTGGTCCATGATGAACATTTAATAAGACAAGTTATTTTTGTCTCATTTTTATTTATCTACTACTTACAAGTATATCTGATCATTAAAACTATGAAAGTACTTTTTGTATTATACAATAAAAGTTTTTGCATAATTATCTTATTCTATTTACCTTTCAAGTACATTATTTACAGTGATAAATTATCAAAAGTAAATGGCAAAGGGGAATAACTCCTCTCAGTAGAATACAAAATAATAGAGCCCTGGCAGGACCAGAACACTTGACCAAATGTTCAAAAATCTGGTAAAAATAATCTTTCTTATTAAAACTTTTACTCTTTTTGCCTCTGATATGCCCAGGTGCGGAGAAGATTTTTAAAGAAATAATGCATTTTTACTACAGATTCACTATATTATCAATAGAGCCCCCCCCCCCCCCAACACCAGAGCTTCTGACCCTGGGACCATAAGTTTGCCCATCATAACTAATCACTTTGTTTATCTGTTTAACACCAAGGAGCAAACAGGATTATTTAATAGAATTAATGCATTTTTACTATATTATCAAGAGCCCCACCCTCACACCAGCACATCTGACCCAGGGGTCATGAAATTCACTACTCTGGAAGAAGCACTCTTGCTCATCATAACTATACACTTAGCTTCATTGCTTTTTTAACCAGAAGCAGAACCGAATATTTTCAAATAAATTTTGCTTTTTCACTTTATAATCAATAGAAGCCCCCCCCCCCCCTCACCAGAACCCTTAAATCTGGGGTCATAAAATTCACAATTTTGGAAGAGGCATCCTTGCCTATCATAACAATGTACTTAGTTTGTTTAAACAATACCCAGGGGCAGAGAAGAAGATTTTCAAAGAAATAATTCAACTTCACTACAGGATCTATATAGCCCCGCCCTAGCACCAGAACTCCTGTCCCCGGGGCCATGAATTTCACAACTTTGGAAGAGGCATCATTGCTTATCATAACAATGTACTTAGTTTGTTTGAATAATACCCAGGGGCAGAGAACAAGCTTTTTAAAGAATTAAAACATTTTCACATTAAATCAATAGAGCCCCGCTCTAACATCAGAACCCCTGATCCAGGAGCCACGAATTTCACAATTTTGGAAGAGGCATCCTTGCATATCAAAACTATGTATTTAATTT